ACCCTTTTTTTTTTTTTTTTTTTTTTTTTTTTGTGTTTATGTGTTGTTTGCTGTTTATAAAGAGCAACAGAAATAAATACATAAAAAAAAAATAATTTATTTTTTGTTTTTATTTATAAAAATAAATTAAATTTAGGGTTTAGTGCTTGCTGCTTTTTCTCTTTCTTTGAGCTGCCTATACACCCCAGCTACTGTATATCCATCATGCTGCGGCTAAACCCTAAACCCTAAACCCTAAACCCTAATTCATAAACCCTAAACCCTAATTCGTAAACCCTAAACCCTAATTCATAAACCCTAAACCCTAACCTCTAAACCCTAAACCCTAAACCCTAAACCCTAGACTGCGTCCCGCAGGGATCGAGGAGATCGACGATCCAGCGTGAGGGTTTAGGGTTTAGGGTTTAGGGTTTAGGGTTTAGGGGCTGAAACCAGCAGTGAAAACACAGATTTGTTAGGGTTTAGGGTTTAGGGTTTAGGGTTTAGGGTTTGAGGCGGTTTACTGCGGCCTCAGCTTCAGTGTTATCTTCTCTCTGCGACCGCTGTCGATGCAGCAGCAGCAGCAGCAGCAGCAGCAGCAGCAGCAGCAGCAGCAGCAACTGCTGCTGCAGCAGATTGCAGCAAATACAAAAATAAATGAGTCAATAAAACAAAAAATTAATTATTATTTTTTTCTTTTTTCTGTTTCTTCTCTTCTGCTGCATCGACCCGTCACCGAGGCCCTCAGCAGCAGCAGCAGCAGCAGCAGCAGCAGCAGCAGCAGCAGCAGCAGCAACAGCAGCAACAGCAGCAGAGAAAATTTCCTTCTCCACCTTCTTAAGTCCCTTAACACGCATACTGACCCTTGCTGCTCCTCTAGTAGCAGCAGCAGCAGCAGCAGCAGCAGTAGCAGCAGCAGCAGCAGCAGCAGCAGCAGCAGTTTGAGTCTACAGCAGCAGGAGCCTCTATTTATAAAAACCTTAGTTAGGATGCAGCATCGACGGAGGCTGCTGCAGCGGCAGCTGTTGCTGCTGCTGCTGCTGCTGCTGCTGGGTCTAGCATCAACATCTGCAGCAGCAACAGCAGCAACAGCAGCAGCAACAGCAGCAGCAGCAGCAATAGCTATAGCGGTCTCCCCAGTATACTGCAGCGACTGGACTCCTGCTGCTGCTCCTGCTGCTGCTCCTGCTGCTGCTGCAGCAGCAGCAGCAGCAGCAGCAGCAGCAGATGAAAGTTTGCTGCTGCATGAATCCTCTGACACTACTAGACTGAAATCTCACCGCCGTCGCCGCCGCAGCAGCCGCAGCAGCAGCAGCAGCAGCAGCAGCAGCAGCAGAAGGAGAAGCAAGAAGATGCGTCTGTGGCAGCAGTTCGATGACTCAACAACAGCAGCAATAACAGAGGGCACAGCAGCAACAGCATTTGCTGCAACAGCAGCAGCAGCAGCAGCAGAAGCAGCAGCAGAAGCAGCAA